CCCCAGTTGCCTTGGGGAAAAAATGGTTACAACAAGTTGCCATCCCTCTCCAGCCAGCGGATGCCAAACAATGTGTCAATGAATCAACGCGTCAAAGGCGCCTCTTCCAATGCAAACTTTGGATATGAGGATGTCGCGTTCTCGTAGAAGGCTGGCACCTGGCTTTTTTTCGTGGTGTTACGCATGCCAAGACGGGCCCTCCCACAAGGCCAACAAGTCTGCAGTCTGCGGGGAAAAAAGAGCAAATCAAACTGTGGTGTCCTCCATCTCTTTGACGGTATCCTGCAAATAATATACATGTCTCCACTCGCCAGCTTGGGACGCAAAATCCAGGTCAAAAGTTTCTGGATGAAGCAACCGCCAAAAATCCACCCACGAAGATCTTGGCAGGTTTGGTGCGTGCCCCGTTGACCCCTGGGAGTGTCGGACCCCGTGGCAGGACCCGTTGACCCCGTGACGCGCGTGTCGCTGTGTTTGGAGAGGCTTCGGGGCTCCGTGGGGGAAACGAGTGGCGATACGTTCGATTCGGACCACGGATGGTCCCGGAGATCGCTAGATCAACAGTGATCCCGTTTGGCTCGCGGAGAGTTCGGGGCAGCACTCTAAAACAATTACAGTAGGCTGATAGACGGTACTCAGAGCTCTCAAGTGGAAGTCGCTCGCAACAACAGATTCACTCTTCACCTTAAAATCCGCCCACACCGCTTGTCGGTGCAGGGCGTGCTTTGGGGCTCTTGAGCTCTGCACTTTGGAAAGCACAGCAAATAGCTCTGCTAGGGTTTGTTTTTTTTTTTTTTTCGCGCGGCTATGGTTGGGCTGCAGGGCCACTGGGGAGAGCGCTTTGGAGGTACATTTTTGGATGATTTTTCGTTACATCGTGCTTGCAGGGCCACTGGGGATTGCGTTTTGGAGGGGTTTTTGTATGGGCCGTGGCTTAAGGATCTTAAGGGGACCCCCTCTCAAGGCCCCCCTAGAATACTTTATAAATTATTCTGACCCCTAGTCACATTGATGCTGGAAATTATTCTGGTATGTCATTCACATTCAGGAATAATTACTAAACATCTGGATGCAAAACCATGTTACAGGCAAGAGTTGTGCTTTGCACCCAACTGTTTTTCATCCCTGTTGCAACACCGCTCAAATCATTCGGTGTGAAACCGCAAATACCCTTGGAGAGACAATACGCCTACATGTGTGTACATTTTGGAATATCATTCCAAAAAATATTCAAAAATTTATACGTAGTACCTTGAACCACTACCTAGCCAAAATATTTTTCCATAAATATTATTCCAAAACATATTCCAGTAGGTCAGATGACCCCTGGAAGAACTTTTGAAGCCACCCCTATGTTTTTGTGTTTTGGGGTGGTTGCTGCGTTGATTCGGGCCACTGGGGACAGCGTTTTGGAGGTGTATTTTTGGATGGCTTTTGGCAATGCCGAAGTTGTATCACCATTATCGGCCCCATGTAGACGAAGTTGGCCCCAAGATGGCTGCACCTGTCCCCCATTTGAAGCCAAAATAGTTCGCAGAAGCTCACTTAAAATCCTGGTCCTGCTGGGGGAGGGCCGAACAGAATCTGACAGATAGCTTCAATGCCGACGTTGTCTCGCCCAAGCTGATCCCAATTAGTGCCATTATGGGCCCCAAGGTAGACGAAGTTGGCCCCAAGATGGCTCCAACACAGCCGTAAGACAGCCAACCTGGCGCCAAACTTCGGATGTTCGTGTGCGGTGTGGGCGGCTGTCGACGCGAAGCGTCTTGAATATCAAACAACGAACCCACCAAGCCCATGCTCTTCCCCTTCTTCCCACTCTGCCGCACCAGGTGCCACTTCTCCATGGCATCCCACAGCACCACCAGCGCCAGCGCACGCCGCATCCAGCGCACCGAACAGGGTGCCAGTTCGCCCAGACGTGTCAGGCCGTCTAGCGCGGCAGGAGGTATCCCAGACGGAAAGAACCATCCTCAATCCGAAAGTCTTAAGGTTCTTGAACTATAGTGATTTATGGTTTTTCCGAGGTCCTTGGTCGCAAAATCATTATATAGTCCAGCTTTAGTCAAAGGGAAGTCTTTGATCCTCCAGTGTGAGGAACAGCATCTGAAACACATGGGAGTTGACTAGGATAGGAAGACTTGGTTTGGACGGTGAGGGGAAGCAGTACAAACTGCTCATCAGTGGAAGGAAAAGAGAGTGCGGTCTGTAGGCCACTTGGGGCGCTCTGCATCGGAAGTAAGTGTGAATGTGGGTGCGTCTTAAAATCGGGAGACCTCCAAACATGGACCAAAAAACCCTTGATCGCGGCGTCTCCCTATTGGGCCGCTACACACCCATGTTCCCCATGTGCCTTTCTTCGGCCGACACACCCAGGGCCGGACAGTGCATACAAGAAATAGTGCTGCGGCAGCACCTTCATCGTTGGACACCTTCTGTGGAAAACGGTTTCCTAAATAAGGAACAGAGAATAGAACCGATTGTGTGAAAAAAACATCTAGGAGATGAAGCAGGTTCCATCTATTTCTGGGTTCGCTCCAGGGCCAAGCCCCTGTTGGTTTTCGAGTTCTCTCCCGCCACCTGCTCCAAACGAAAAAAGACGGACTCGGCCCTCAGCCCCCTCAACTCAACGGCCTGACACGGTCGTCTCGGCCTCATCTGCGCGCCTCAGGCACTCAAAATCGATGGGATTGGCCAGCTGCCTATCCTAAAAACGAAAGGCTATGTCAACCGGGCCGTCCAGCCATGGTGGTCCCTTCCACATCTGGGCAAACGGGTTAATTAGATCATTCGCTGCTTTAAGGTAACGCCAGTTGTTGCTGTTGTAGTAAGTCAATTTTGGGATGCCATTGGAAAGATTGAAGGGACCAGAGTTGTCTAAACTCCCATGATTCCGTAGTGACGCCCCCGTGCACAACAATGCGGCAGGTCCTTGATCCAGTGGACACCCATGTGATCTTTACCAGCTCTCCTCAGGAGGCTGTCGAAGACAAATCGCAGGTGATCTGCTGGAGGTTGCAGGGACGAGTGGCCAAATGTTGCTCCACTCCAAAGTCTTTGGAATGGAAGTGACCCCTCCACCATGAACTCCATCCCGTGACGTCCAGACACTTCATGGCGGACGATGATGGCTCCATGCAGGGCCATGCGTCAAGTGGTGTCTCACTGGCGCAACTCCAATGAGGGGCAGGTCTTGAAGGAACAAATCCAGCACCACCTGGTGCAAAATCATAAAAGTGATGTTATCATGGGTCTGCTGCCTGAGGGTCACTGAAAAGAAAGCGTGATGTGAGTTACTGCCAATTTGCTTCGCTGTCTTGGACTTCGATGGAATCCTTCGAAACCATGCAAAAGCGTCCTCGTGGTGCCTTTAAGATAAACATAGATAAACATCTAAAAACCTCTACCACGCAGGCTCAGGCTCACTTTCTAGGACATCTCCACAGGTGGACGTCGTCACGGTGGTGTTCAAATCCGGCTGCGCGTGCGGTGTGTGCTGTGTGCGTGCGTGCGGTCTGAAGGAGGTGCGGCCCTTAATGGCTCGCTGATAGGGCTCAAGTGGGTAGAGGTTGTGTCCGTCCTCGGAACCGAGCGTCCTGCTCCTTCGTCCCGCGTTGAGCCGTCCTGGCTCACAAACTGACTGACTATATAGTTGACTGACTGTGTTTCAGGTAGCATTCAAGAACACCTCTTGCATTCTGGGGCAAGAAGAGCTGGTCTTAGTATACTCTTACTGTATTCTTGGATCTTCGCGGTCCGGCGGCCCAACAGGTTCGAAGGCACTCCAATATACGTGCTGTACATGTGAAAATGGATGTCCTACTTGGGCAGTTCACCTAGCATTTCACCTGTCTCGCACAACCTTCCCGACCCACTCTGCTGATGCTAGCATATGCTAGAGCTTCACTCGGCCATTTTGGCTGCACACAGTCTTGAAAACAAGGCAAATAAGTATATGGATGATTATGGATGCGCGAAAATCAACACTCTCCCAGCCAGACCGAGCCAGACCTAAACAATCTTCGCACACCGAATGCACACTGAAAAAAGAGTACAGTATCCTGCTAGAACGCTTCACCAACATTAACACATGGTCAAAGAAAGATCTAACATGTCCAAATGGTATGCAAACTCTGGGCCGCACGTCCGCCACGCATCCTCAGCAGAACGTGCGTCGCACTTTCGGACGCCACACGTCTCTGCGTCACTGCGTCATGGCAGAGCTGGCCGCTGGCCCTTCAGGCCGATCCGGAAGAGTGATCGAAGAAATCAGCTCCAAACAACAAATCAAACTAGCATGTATATTGGGTGATGAGTTTGTCCTCTAGTGGTGCACCTGCACTTGCTATCAAAGGCCAACCACAGCCGAGGGCCAAGGCCGTGTATATATATATATATCGTGCTTCGCGTTTGGGCCCTCCAAGTCTCGTTGGGCCCTCAGTTGGGTCAGCCGTAGATCGTTCCCTGGCATCGTTCCCTGTCCACGTCCGCGGCCATCTCTAAAAACATCCAGGGCATCTGGTGAAAGAAGTGATTCAGGACCCGAATCCATCTGAGATGACCAAAAACGAACATCAACCCCCGAACTCCCGGTACCGCCCTCTCAAGGACAAAGGCATTCCAGCGGAAGAATCACTGCTGCCTTTGTTGTGTAGGTGTGCCAACCTCATATTTCCCGATTAAATATGATTAAATTAAGGACATGTTTTGAACCTTCAACACTGCATGTTGCTAGGTGGTATTCAACTGTATCTGAGTATCTAACTACAACACGTGTTTCAGACTTTAACTTCATGGAGTCCTCGCTTCACTACTGCTACTTACAAAAAGTTGCCCCCGGATCGAAAAAATACTGAAAAACATTGGAAAGGTTGTTTTCCAACGTTTGCCACTGTAAACAGTCTAATTTGTCTTGCCAAAACTGTTCCAAAATAATCACAACACAGCATTACATCGTATCATATCGTATAAGATTTGGCAACTGCGCCTTCTTCCTACACCCCCGGTCTCACCGTCTCACCCAGTTGGATTCACGTCTGACTCGACACGGTCCGAGCTGATCGTCTTCGGGCGCCATCCATGGCGATTGCGCCGGAGCAAAAAACGTCTCCGGCGCAGGGCGCGGCGCAGCAGGGCACAGCCAGGTGATTTCTTTTTTTGGGACGTTCCTTCGACCAAAACCTTCGATGCATCAGCAAGCACCTATCTCTATGTATATAAGTATACAGTATATATAGAGAGAGAGAGAGCTCATGACCAAAGGTCCTTTCATTCGGTGCCGGTCCCTTCTTCCGGAGTGGCAGCTTCTGACTTCTGACCCAACGGTCCCTGACTTACGTACCGATCTGGCATGTCAGAAGAGCCGTGGACGCAACGCGACGTACCGTAGCCCGGGGGTCCGGCATGCAAAACCCATCTCAAGTTGAACACGTCTTCGTGGAGAAGGGCGCGCGACATGCAAGACTTTCATAAAACAAGTTGCATTCGCATTATATAGATCACTGGCACTGCGGGTTTCCACTGGATAACGTGCCTGGCGGCGCCTGGCAGGTGGGGTTACTGGGCGGAGCGCCGAGTCCTGCCTCCCTGCCGACGCCGAGTCCGCTCTCAGCTCAGCTTAGGCCAACTTCACCTTCACGGGGCACTTGGTCCCTCCGGCTCAGCCAATGCAGAAGCCACCTGGGCCCAACCATGCAATCAAAAAGAAGCGAATTGTTTTCAAGTGCTTTTGGTGATTGGTGTGGCTTTTGCAGATGCGATGCTACCTTCATGTCCTAGTTCAGTGGTTTGAACATGTTTGAACATACAGGTCACCATTGGCAAATACCATATGTTATGGATGACATGCCCCTTTTTGGAGACCATGATGCAAAGAACACATCTGCAACCTGCTGCGTCTTGTTCCAGAGCCATGGCAAACCAGCAACTGGCATGCTGACTCACAAGGAGAAGGCTGCTTTTGCATTCACAAGCGGATACAAATAGCAAACGATCGATTTTGAGATTGAATAAAGTCCTGAAATCCTGAGGCGGATGAACCCATCTCAGACCACCTGATCCTTGCCGCCTTGCCGCCGAGGGGCAGCCCCTGGCACTCAAAGACCCCTGACCCATCCATTCCACGCTCAAGTCGTCCAGACTTGGATCCTTGCCGAGCCGTCCCGGTTGGCAGAGGTTCTATGCACCACTCTGACCCCCAATGGATGGTTTACGGGTGGTCGTCCAACATGCAGATTTAAACAATGGACAGGCAAGTCTGCGCTTGGAGACGCATGTCACACTGGGGCTCTCTGGCAAGTGTTTCATGCAGGTTGGGCAAGGGTCTTCCAGATTCCAGATGATGGGTGGTGCTGGTGGCGCGTCACGGTCACCAGCCGCTACAGTAAGTACTAGCACACATGCAGCTATCGGCGGCACTCAGTACTCAATACCAGCACGGTCAGTGGGTTATCGCCGGTTATCATCGCTCGGCGGGGAGTTGACCGTGAGACACCAAAGAAGGGGCCTCCATAGCAAATGCTCCCAGCGACGCAAAGGTGATCAGGGCACCATTTGGTCTATGTTCCTTCTTGCATGGTCTCCCTATTGTTAATGCACACCGATTTCTACATGCATGTTCCAATTGTTGATTTTTTGGTAGGCCCTAACTCTGCAGGTTCCTTGGAAGTCGGCTGATGGGTGACTCAGTAGACACCCGCCCACGATGTGATCGCTCAATGGCGATGCTTCTTGCAGGTCCCGGACTCCAAACATGGCGCCCCTCCAGACCCAGGCTCACCAGGACAAGGACACCAATGTGCGCGTACTTTTGGGGGCACAGCCAAAACACAAAGACACGTGCACGAAACGTCAACCGTGTGCGGATGCAGAAATGGTCCTCCCCAACACGTTCCCATGATTTTCCATCCGTGTCTTCTGCACCTGACTCATTAGATCTTCAACAATCAGCTGCTGCTATGCAAGTAGCCGCCGCTACAACAGCTGCACCACCCAACAATCCCAGGGCCACACGGACTCCCATCACCTGTTCTTAAGGCCGAGGGCGTATTCGCTCGAATGCTCCATGGGGGCCGGCAACCTTCAAACGAAGCTGCGAAGGGTTGTCTGACAAAAAGATTCTCAACGCACCACTCCTAAGATCTCTGAGATCTTCCTGCTTGTGCTTTTGGGCATTCAAAAATGGTCTGGCATTTGTCCTTCAATGCATGGGATGTCCGTTTTGGACGGGCGCTGCTGCAATGTAGTTTTGATACACTATGCGCTTGATTCCCACTTCACTAGCACCTGCTGCAGCTTGCCCTACTTCGCATGTCCATTTCGTACCCCATCATCGAACGATGAAAAAGACTTTGAAGACTCCTTGGTCGCCTGTGCATCGATCCAGCAGCGAATTCTAGAGAAAACATTTGGGTGTGTATTAAACAAGTGAGACCTCCAAAGGATGGGACCCCCTGGAAGAAGGGAAAATCCTGGAAAATAGACCAGAACCCATTGGTGGACCTCCCTATTCAATAGACACCCGTTTGAAGAATTTGACGTGTAAACCTCTTCCATATGATTCCATGTGCTTGAACGTTTGTTCATCGAGAGTCGTCAGGATGCAGACAAATCCGGTTCCCCATCGGAAGTGCCGGTGGCAATTGGCGAGCCAAATGGGCTACATGACCTTCCTCTGCTCACCAAGATAAGTCATAGAGTCATAGAGGTCTCCAAGTACTTAAATAGTTAGGTTCCTAATGGTTCTGAATTAGCAGGTTTTATATGGTTTAATGGATTCGGTCTCTACCCTCTTGACTTCAAACCACTATACTTCACACTCTGGCAGCGAACTTCCGAACGCGCTCGGTCACCCGCAGGTGCTGAACTGGGGCACCCCAGCGGACGTGCGGCGCGCGCGGCGCCGGTGAAGGCCTGCCCGGGCGGAAGACTGCTGCAGCTTAGGCTTAGTCACACACTCACACGGAGATGGTAGACGCTTCTCAGTCTGAGCCTGAGATTCCAAACAACCATAGTATATTAATTATAGTGGATTGAGAGTAGATCTGGGAGTAGATGGCACAGACCATCACGGACCCCTTTGGGGTAACTTGCCCCATCTACTCTCTCAAACCACTGCAACTATCGAGTCGAGAGAGTTTCGCAGCTTCGTGGTCGTGACGACGGAACCCGTTGTTCGCACTCAGTACGAAGCTCCCGAGGTTCCGAGTTGCGGATCCCGAGGTTCCTAGGTGGCCACTTGAGTGGGATGTTGTGATGTTGAAACCTGCAGAAAAAAGAAGCGACATGTTCAGACTCTCTTGAAAAAAGGGATGGACACTTGACTCACTTGACACGAAACGTGGCCGTTCAACTCTCATCACGAAACGTCAAGGCTTCTCCCTTCATGTCCACCCGGAGAAAGGTCTGCCTCACAGGGAGCTGCCGCACGACGCAAGCAAAGGCCTGCGAGGCACAGGCACACCTCAGAGATGTGGGTGGTCAATGTTGGCAAGAACAATCACTCCCAACTAGTTTCACTGCCCGCACAGTGTTTTTTTTCTGTTGAGTGAGTGACTGGGTTCAACGCGAATCCCTTCCCAAGTTCAGGGGATTGGCACTCTTGAGATAGCTCTGTCACAAAACTACGGGACTTCTTGTGCATCGCTTTCGAATGATTCCGGAGGTTCAAGATCAGGCAACTCTTATGCAAGGACACGGGCTGAGTGGCCCCCATTCGCCCATTCGCATCAAAAATTTGGACCATCAGTCGTTTCAACAACGCTGGGCCCTCTCACAGCCAACAGCAGCGCCGGCAACAAGCCGCGGCGCATGGCGGGCTTTTTGCTGTGAGGGTCTTGGATGCTGAACGTTGGCTCTGGGCCAGCACATTGCGTTGCAGAATCGGCAGGCTTCCAGGAATATAAACGGATTGTGGAAAGTGCCTTCTTTTCATCGGTTTTGGTTAGATTGTCCATTGCACCCCCCAAGCTCTTCTGCAGCACACTCCTTCCAAACATGCAGCACCCGCAAACAAAGTCCAAAGCCACGTAGTCCCCGGTCTCGCGACACCAAAAGTATCCATTCTGCTGCGCAGTCTGCATTAGTTGCTCCAAAAAGGACTCAGTGGATTCCTAGGTCCTACATCCAAAGCCCGTCCCACTTTCGCATCTGTCGGCCCTTGCGTTCCTCCAGCTTGCCCCCCATTGGTACCCCCCTCACCCGGCCACCGGTCTACCACCGGTCTTACCCCTTTTCTCGACAGCACCCGGCTCTGCAGCCAGCGCCAACGGCCCAGAGGTCGTTGACTCCAAGGCCAGTTGGATTTCCTGGGCTTGACCTCTACTCATGGACTTGACCTGCCAAGCGTGTTGAATCCTCACCTTTAGAACGAATCCTGGGATGTAAAGGTTACATTTCGGTGTTGCTTTGCACTGTGCACTCTTACAAAGAAATACAGTGATATCGAGCAGGTTTTGTAATTGGGCACACAGGGTAGCATTGGTGTGGGAAGTGCTCGTCAAATGCACTTCCCATCTTCTTCGTGTGTGTGTGTTTGGCGGGGTAACTTTAAGTGAAGGTTGTCGCTTCACTGGGCTTGAGTCAGGACCCAAAAGACCAGCATCAATTCGACTCACGGGCCGAGTTCGACTGTTGGAACGTCGCCCGAATGCTGAACGGCGCGAGGGGTGTGCCACTGCGAACTGGGTCAACAGCACCAGTCCCAACGGCTGTGGCCAAAGGGCCTCTAGGGAAAAGGGGATCTGGCTCAGAGTGACTTGGCAACACAAAGCCCCAAAGATCTACAGCAGATTCTGATTGAGGTTGACTCTCCCCCAGACCAACCATTGTGGACACAGGTCATGTCTTCGCCCCTCGAGCGAAGAACCGGTGAGGTAGGCAGGTCTGCTCAGTCCAGGAAGGTCACATCTGCATCCACCACTGGAGCCTTGCTCCTGGACACCAAGAGAGAAACAAAAGCGAACCCCTGCCCTCATAGAGACACATAATATATATGATATATATATATACATATAGGATATGGGTACAGGACTTGGAATGGCAAGCCCGGCCCTTTGGACGAGCTTTCTTGAAAAGAAATCACTGACATGCTGAGAGACCAGAACTGGATGTGGTTCACCCAAAGCTGGAACTGCCGGCCACATTGTCAGAAGATAAAAGGACTCAACATCTAGATGAGTTCCCGACGTTCATCCCCTACTCAACAAACCCAGCGCATGGACACACATGAAACCTGAGAATGCCCCATGGAGGAAGGCTAGTCTTGCATCTTGCATGTGTCTTTCTCTTTGGCTTCGTGTTCCGGTGCTTTTCGCAGAAAAGATATTGATGTGGACTCTTTATCAGATTTCAACCCTCCATGTGTGAAGCTTTGCAATCCATGTCTGCAGGAAGGGTTTGATTATGGTTGATTAATCGAGACTACTACATTAGATTGAACCTCGGCCCGAGGAGCTGCTCCGACGCCGGCGGGACCAATGACAGCGGCCTGCTGGGTGGCTTCTTCACCTCTGCCACTGGCTCGACCGTGAGCGGCCTTGGCGAAATATTTCCAAAGAGGCTGAAATGTGTGTATATATATATGTACATATATGCACATAACATATACATGTTTATCGGCACAAGCCAAACAATGATATGCGGGTGTATATATATATATATATGTATCTGTATAGGCTGTATATGTATATATCTATATAAACCAGTTGCCTACGCTTCTTGGGTTGTCCGACCACGAAACAAAGGTTTATTGTTTTTGGGCTGCTGGGCCCAAGCTACACTTCGTGCAATGCGTCGTCCAGGGGCTTCACAACCTCCAGAAACTCTCATAAGGGCCGCACACTCCCTCACATGCTCGGACATTAGCGCAGGAATAAAAACTGATACCAATTAACTGCATGAATGATGAATGTTTCTGTCTGTTCAACTTCTATCGTCGAAAAAGGAATTAACAGGGGAGCGTACCAAATCCAGGACACTCACCCGAATACACAGCAAAGACTGACAGAAAGAGCATGAAAAGAGGCACTTCTCACTTGGTGAAATTCCTCCTCTCTAACATCCTGCCCTGTGCTGCCCTGGGCCATTTCCAGGCGTGCGGCGCTGTCGGCATGGGCTGCGGCGTCGCCACGGTGGACGCCGTGGGCGGTCGTGGTGGCGCCCCCACGGTGGGAGCCTGGGGAGAAGTTGGGAAACGGCCCAAAGTGTGAGAATGCCGTGTAAGGAATTGAGGACTATACTTACAGGAAAGTTGTCCTGATGCACCTGTACTTTTTGTGCCACATGTTGTGCTCAGACTTGTCGGAAACAATGCCAGGGAGTGTGCCAGTTCGTGTCCTGTCGTCGTTTTGTTGGGGTGAATGGCCGGATTGGGGTCAACCAATTGCACGGTCGGTCGCTTATGATCTGTGTCACCCTGGCGTCTTTTCTTCAGATCTGATTGATATGGGACACAAAGGTCCTACAAAGGTCCTAAAGGTCACCAACCAGATCCCCCCCTTCCGCCCAGAGGCCGTCGGCATGTCCGTCGGTTGCACCTCAAATCGCAGCAATTCGCGGGTGGGACCTGCATGGGAGAGGGACCAGAGTCTATCGAGTCGACCGTCCTGCGAATGAGGTTGCACATCAATTATATATACACTGGACTTACGTCGACTTATACGTTATAGTTCTATAATGGTTCTATAACGAGAGCCAATCGCATGCGAATACACTTTGCTAGAAAGCACCGTCTGCAAGAATAAGACTGGCCATCGGGGCAGTCGCCCCAGGGAACAGAGATCCCCTTCTTGCAAAGGATAACAGGCAATTATTGGGCATCACACGACATGTGAGACCCCCAGAAATCGTCATCGTGCGACATGCGAGACATGGCAGGCTATCCATTGAGATCTATTGAGGGCCATGATGCTGACGTACCCCGGCCAAACCGGGCTTCACTCCCGTTTGGGCAAAAAGGCTCCCTTGGGAAGCTGCGCTCCCCCCCAAGCAACATGAAGGTCAAAATCCACTGGTTGTAGGGGGAAATCGCCTTCCACTTCGAAGGATCCATCTTCCACTTCCGTCATTGGTTGGGATAGGCAAGTATACAACGATGACAACGATGGGGCGTCGCTATCTGCACCCAAACAAGTTTGCGAATCTGAGCCCAAGATCACCTACATAGGGACAGCAGCTTTGCAAGCAACTGAGATCAAAAATTGCAGTAAGAAGATCGGACCAACGACATACACCAATGCGGTGGGTGGTGGCGGCTTTTGGTGCAGTGTACCAATGCACCGCCCGCCCGGTCCCACGACCCCATGGACCCATGGGCCCCGGGCAGGTGGACTCTGATATTGCTCAGCCTGGGCGCCGTCGATTCGAATCGAACAGCGCGAGAGCTCCAGCAGAGGGCGCCGTCCATCCGCAAGCTGCGGAGAGGGTATCACGATCGTCAAGTAGTATCAGTGATTCATCCAAGTGTCCTTTTCAACCACTGCATGATCAAAGTACAGTAAAATAGCTGTAAGGGCTGTACACCTCGCGAAAAAATTGCAGCCCACTAGCTGGCCTAGCTGAAGTAGGTCACAATATGTCACACTAGTGACTGGCAAAGGCCAAGCAGCCAAGGCACAACAAAGAAGAGAAGACTTGAGGCCAGGGGGAGGAGGTCGAAAGCTAGCCGAATCGCACCGGATGTACTGGTTACATAGTCGGCAAAGCATGTAGGGATTACATGTTTTGGGAGGAAGGTTGCTATGTACATACTTTGCGCTAAAGAATGTAAATGTGACATCGCTGACTGGGAAGGGTACTTTGGAACAACCCGGGTGCACTCGTTGGCAGGCACGAAGATGCGTGATCGGCAAATCTGGGGGGTAAATTTACCCTCCGCTTTTGTACGCCTTGAGTCGGAAAGAGGGGTAAGCATTTCTGACATCATACGGACTGTACATACACTAGGGCGTCCGTAGTGTAGGAGAAGCACGGGTAAAAGGTATATGGAATAGGGTGTCTTGAGGAAATAGCCGGCTTGTGGTTATTGCAAATCTGGGGTGTAAATTTACCCCCCGCTTATGTATGCCTTGTGCCAGAGAGGGGTAAGCATTTCTGGCATCACAAGGACTGTGCATACACTAGGGCGTCCGTAGTGTAGGATAAGCACTGGTAAAAGGTATAAGGAGTAGAGTGTCTTGAGGAAATAGCCGGCTTATGGTTATGGCAAATCTGAGGGGGTAAATTTACTCTCCGCTTATGTATGCCTTGAGCCGGAAAGAGGGGTAAGCATCACAAGGACTGTGCATACACTAGGGCGTCCGTAGTGTAGGATAAGCACTGGTAAAAGGTATCAAGAATAGAGAGTCTTGAGGAAATAGCCGGTGTATGGTTATAGCACGCCTGGGGGGTAAATTTACCACCCGCTTATGCATGCATTAGGTTAGAAATAGGGGTAAACAACTTGTAACGGTGAAGTACAAGTCCTATGCAGCAAGCAGCAGCCAGCAGCAGCAGCAGCAGCCGCCTGCAGCCAGCAGCCAGCAGCAACCGCCAACCAGCAGCCAGCCAGCAGCACCACGCAGCAGCGGCGCAGCATCAAGCCGCAGCAGCAGCAGCACCACCGGCAGCAAGCAGCAAGCAGCAAGCAGCAAGCAGCAGCAGCAGCAGCGGCGTCGTCAGCAACAGCAGCAGCAGCACCAAGCCGCAACAAGTAGCAAAGCAGCAGCTACAAAAGCGGCAACCAGCGGCAGCAGCAAACAGCAGCAGCAAGCAGCAGAGCGGCAGCAGCAGCACCGTTTACACCAAGCCACCGTTCACACACAACCAACCACGTTCACACGTTCAACCAACCCCCTACACGGCGCGCAGCTGGGAGTCGAACCGTGGGGGTTGGGGAGGGGGTGAAAGAGTGACTAGGGCGTGCACGGTTGAGGTGCAGACCGCTAGTGTCTTTTTCTACGCAGAGTCTTATCCTCTTCTTGAGCCTTATGGCAGCCAAGCATGGACACACTAGATAGGCCACTGGAGTGGAACCTGTACAAGTAGGCCTCTACATTTCAGCAGGCACAAAATTCAT